CATATTATTGGAAAAAAAATGTTTGGGTTGACTACCCCTTTAAGAACTGCGGTACAAATGTTTACATTAGAGGGGAGCATCTTCTGTCCCCCAATGAGTTTCCGTCTGTTTTACAGGCTGACCCATGCAGTCCCAACCCATCACCTCGACAGTGGCAGTGACACGGCATCGAGAACACACACGCACGCACGCACGCACGCACGCACGCACGCACGCACGCACGCACGCACGCACGCACGCACGCACACACACACACACACACACACACACACACACACACACACACACACACACACACACACAGAGAGACGCCTGTGGGATCAAAAGGTGTACAACACTGTTTTATTTGATATTTTTTTTCCTGTATTTGGTGGTGTGTCAGCTGTGCGGCACCTATGTGTGATGTAGTACCGGTAAATCCGCTCTTGAAGCAGTTTGGCTGTCGCTGACGACTTGGACCGACTGGGCGGGCCCGTAGTAGTCTGGCAGAAGCGTAGTGATGTACTGACGATGCCCACCTCTGGTTTACATATTGTTTCATGAACCATGAAAATTTTAAGTGATAAAGCCACGGATTTGTTTGCATTATTGTTGTCATCGAATGTAGGATTTACTGATTGATGTTTACGCCGCACCTGTTTGGTAGAATGTTCTTAAGTCGTCGTAGTTTAATAGACTTTTTGTAAATGAACCCCAATAATGAAAGTTTATTTAAAAAATTGTCCATTTTAATTCATGATTCATATGCCTTTATTTTAGCTTAAGATGAGCTATCAAACAAAAAAAAACATATACATGATGTTGAATCTAATTTTGTTTCGTCGTATAGAGATTAATTTATTGCTTGTGTTTATTAAAGAACACACGGGAAGAGAACCATTAAAAAAATAATCACATATTAACCCTTTCATGCACCAATAATGAAAACCTGTAACCTGATAACATGATGGGTTGTCCACTGTAGTAACCGCTGTCCCTGAAAGGGTTAAATCGCAGTTGGAATATTGAGGGGAAAAAAATTGCAATTACATTGGGGTTTTTTTTTTCATTTTTTTAGCCCAACCATGACAAGTCAGTCCCACTTTGAGCCAATCTCTGGCTCTTTCCCTTTCTCCTGTGGAAATTTTGCAAACGTTTGATTGGATGTTGTTAAAAAAAAAAAAAGATTATACTGCATATTTGATAATGTTGAACTGGACGAGGAAAGGGGGGTTGGGTGGTTGACCAGTATCAGTCCATGTTGAGCTGCTGGTGGCACAGAGGAGATTAACGGAGTGTGCGTGTGTGCGCCGAGTGAGTGATTGGGACTGACAGCGGCCTCTGTATTGCTGGCTGGCCCGCAGATTTAGCCGACCTGCTTTAGACACTCTAATCTGGATTAACTGCAGCAGTGTGTCAGTGGGGACGAGAAGCGGTAGCCCCCCCCCCCTCCCTTCCCCTGGCCCCCCTCTCCCTCCATCTTCTTTTCTGCCCCTTCACCTGTTTCTTTTCTGTCCTTCCATCCTCACCCCTCCCTTTATCTGTACCTGTCCCCCCCCCCTCCTTTCTTTATCCACGCTCGCTCGTACCACAGGCTGGTTTTCATACCTTCCAGAGATATAAATAAATCATGAATTAAAGCCCTTGCTTGCATCATTGCCTGCGTGGTGCTTCTAGTCCATCTCCGGGGGAGGGTATAGTCCAGCAAAGGATTATAGAGCAGCTCCGTCTTCTTCCACACTTGTCCAGGCTGTTCCACTTGTACTTGGTGGTCCTATACAACAGAGTAGACATTGATGCAGAATAGTGATGACAATTTAACCCTTTCACACACCCTGTAACCTGATAACATGAGAAGCTGTCCACTGTAGTAACCGCTGTGCCTGAAAGGATGAAAGTCACTGTGTTTTCCGAATTGTTATTTGACCAATAAAATATCCTCCTCCCCCCCATTCATTTTTTGCCATAGTTCAAGCGTTATTGTTAAAAACTTGAAAAAAAAGGCACACAACAGTACATTCAACATGTCTCAAACAAATTCCCGAGCCTGTTTCCCCGGATTCTTAGCAGAGCTTACAAAACGGCGACAATCCAATGCTTTTTCTTCCTCCGTTGAAATAAAATTGTCCATCTCCCCGGTGCTCTCTTTTCCTTCTTCTTCCATCTTTGCCGTTCACGGCGTTTTACCTTCTTTCAGTCAAAACTCACTCCTTGGTGCACTTGGCTTGGCGATAGTTCTTTTCAGGCTCCGTCCCGGCTTCAGCACTGAATGGATTGCTCAGTCTTTGCTCCCTTTATCTGGTGATAAGAGACTTTTCAGATAAAGCATATTATGATAAATCGAATGAGCTTTGTCGGTTTTGTGCAACCGGGTGTTTGTGGATGTCGGTGATGAGAGAGAGAGAGCACAAGAACGCGGCTGTTGGGTGCAAAACAGAATCTGATGTGACAGCCACATTTGCAGTATGAATCAAAATCTATCACATTTTTTTTCTGGGTTTTGCTGCGGATGCAGTTTGGATATAATATGTCATGCATCCAATGCATTAAGTCATTTCAACTAATGAAGTTGTTGTGGCAGCTAAGACCTTAAAACCAAAATGTAATATTATGCTGTAATCAACATATACATACATACAACATACACATAACATGTATTTGATTTTTTTTTTTTTAATCGGTAATGAGAGTGTTAGTCGCAAAAGGATGTCGACATTTTGTGCAAATGACCATGTTTAGTAACAGAATTATTAATCGACACTACACAATAAGTTTGTAGAACCATGTGATTTTCCGCAGCCAATCAGCAAGGAAGGCAATGATAATATTGCATTATTCTATCGTAAACAGGATTTTTCAAAATTAAACACAATATATTTACAGCAGTCGCCGATGGTGTAGTGGTACATTCACCGAACTTGTGTGCAGGAAGCGTGGGATCGGTTCCCATTCAGTGACGGTGTGGATGTGGGTGTAAATGGTTATTTGTTTTTCCATGTGCCCGGTGACTGACTGGCGACCAGTCCGGGGTGTGGTCTGCCTTTCACCTGAAGTCAGCTGGGATAGACTCAAGCACCACACAGACAAAACAACCATTCGGGCTCACATGCACCCCGAAGGACAATTTAGCGTGTTCCATTAACCTGCCATGCATGTTCTTGGAATGTGGGAGGAAACCGGAGTACCCAAAGAAAACCCACAGAGGCACGTGGAGAACAGGCATACTACACACAGGAAAGCTGGGGTGTGCTAACCATTCACCCACCCTGCCACAAATACTTCCATTATTTATTTATTTATACACAAGTATATGCACAACTTCTAGGGTATAGTTTTGCAGTGCATCGCTAGGTATCATGTCCTCTCCATAAATTACCGTTAAGGGCATTCCGATCATTCCCTTGTTTCTCTTCCAGATTTGATTGAATACTCCTTCCATCTGGTACTTATTCTCTGTTTCGGAGTCGCCTTTACTTTCATCTGCATTTCTTCTATTTCTGCATGCTTACAGCTCTCTTTGTGACATCTCCGAATCAACAAGCCCAATAGCACTTCTTTTTGTAGTCCTCCTGTGTACTTTCTTTCAAACTTTGGTTACCTTCACCCAGGGGCGTCACTAGGTTTGAAGAACAAGGGGGGCTTAGCCCCAAGGGGAACACAGCCCCTGTAGGGGGGTCCGGGGGCATGCCCCCCCGGGAGAAATTTTTTCGACATTCTGTTAAAAATCCATCAATTCCGTGCACTTTGAGAGCAAAATGAAGAGGCTATGAAGAACTACACACATCACATTAGTATCCTCTTTACTATGATGGGGCTTCCTCCCCTGGACTTTAACTGGACTAGATAATAGAAATTATAAAGAGTTCAAAAGTTCAATCTTGGTTGTTCAAGGGAATTAGAAGGATGCCCGATAACATAACCTATATGACAGTAGTCCTATATTCCTCTCTACCAAAATGTATTAATATATGCTTAGCCGCCAGAAGACGATGTATTTTGAGAAGTCTGCCGTGATATGCAATTTAAGTTAGTACAATGAGATGCAAAAGCTTCATCACTTTGGAAAAACACAAGTTTGCTGCTCAATACTTACTGTAAGCTCCGATTGCATTTTGGGAACAGCCTTGCAAGTAAAATTAGCCTTGAGATCTGATAGACTCACCTGTCCAGCAGAGCCCACCCCCGGCTCACTCTCTGTGATTCTTTGGCCTGATTCCTTTCAAATAAATAAATGTATTTATTTTATATTTATTTATTTATTTTATATAGGCCAAAATCTCAATAGGTGTTGCCTCAAAGAGTTGGTGTAATGATTATTTATGTATTTAATAATAAAATGTTGCTTAATTTTTATTAAGCACCACCTTAATTTATCCAAAAGCGAATATCCATGCTGTCGACTCAACCTGACTTTCGGCAATGAACTGTCAGTTGTTGCGTTAGCATTTGATGTGGCGATGGTGACAGACACGTCAAATGCAAACGCAACACCTGTTGCGTTCAGGAAACCTGGGAGATTTAACATTACAATAATGGCAGGTTATCGAAATATAATTTAAAATGGCCACATTACGTTGAATTTGATGCAATATATTAGCAAAAGTACAGGAAAAATAAATAATACTTTTTTTTAAATAATGCAATGAAATTATTTAGGTGGGCTAAAGACATTTTTAGGGAGGCTGAAGCCTCCCTAAAATAGGCCTAATGACGCCCATGCCTTCACCCAGCCCTGGTACAGCCTACTTATTTTATTCTGTTTTTTTTTTTCTTCATTTGTCTCAACATCTTGATCTTCTGGACTGGTGGTACTTCCAATCCGGTAGCATGGCTGGCATTCTTTTTTATGTACTTTACCCTACTGTATTATGGGGAGTTTATTCATTGAGGACTAAATATTTCCACTGAGTTTAAATAAACGAACACAACGTTGCCTGCAACCTGTTGCGTCTGCGCGTGCGTGCGGTGGGCGGGGATAGCCGGAGCCATTTTACGCCCTCTAATTAGCAGCCCACGCGGGGACGAACGTATTCAGTTGAGTATCCTCTCCTCTCGCAATCAAGTGTAATCCGAGGCCGCCACACCTGTGCTGACATCCTCAGAGGAAGAAAAACAAGAACAGTTCGGATGATGCTCGCCGTTCGCCATCTTCCTCCAAATTGACCGTTACAAAGTGAAGTTTTTTTTTCTTCCCTTAAAAAGCGCAGGTTTGGAATCACGGGGATTCAGTGACTTAATTGTCGCCTCAGCTGAGGTCCTCGGCTGTTGCATTGCGTCCATCCCACACGCATAAACAAGAGCGTCGTCGGGATTTAAGAGGCTGCAGTCAAGATGATGTCCTACATAAAACAACCTCATTACACCATGAACGGGTTAAATTTGCCCGGCCCGGGAATGGACGTGCTGCACACAACCGTCGCTTATCCGTGTAAGTAAAAACAATTCCAAAAAAAAAAAACATGATTTTATATCTTTTTAATTGTGCTTCTTTGCTTTTCATTCTCGATTGATGACGTAGCTTTTGCGTAAAAGCCGCGCGTAAATAACCAGAAGCGGTTATTTAAATGTTAGGTTGAGGCGTAATCTTTATGATGGCGATTTAAATATTTGATTGTTTGTACATGTTCATTTTTGTTCTTATTATTATATTGACAAAAGAAATGTTTTTGATTTGTAGGATGTAATATTTTGTCAAATGAAAAATAAAAATAAATAATCACAAGCCCGAGCTGAATATACATATTTAATTTTTAAAACGAAAGTTAATGTTTAAATCTGCTCAACGATAAGAAGCGTTGACTTGGATGAATATATTTTTGATTAAATGTTGTATTGGTATGATGTATGTCTTGACTCAGAAAATAGCCTACTATTTGAACGGAACGGGCAATTGCTTTTTTTTTGTGTGTGTGTGTGTGTGTGTGTGTAGCCCGATTTCAGCGGACAAGTTTTTTTTTTAAATTGTTGTTGTTGTACATTCTTCACGTTTCTTTTGCTTTTTTTTCTACACCACCAAAACAATGTCCCTCTGCGTATTAACCATAAAAACGATTGAGTTAAAACAATTAGATGGCATTAAAATAATAGACAATTAAAATAATAGATCTTTAAATCCTATTTTTATCTTTCGTTTTAAACTTTAACGTGGGTCAATGTGACGTAATTAGAAAAATAATGTCCTGATGTGTAGATCTGCTTTAGACAAACATTCGGGCTGTTATTAAAAGATGAAAAGCAGATTCGATTATCAAATTGTAAATCAGAAAAGCGTTTAATGGGTTTCTATTTCTTCATTCACCCCTGCAGTCAGTTTCCCCGAAGATTCAGTTAAATGTCGCTTGGCATGCGACTGAGACACTCGGCGAGGCCAAATCCTTCTTCTCACGTCTTCCTCACTTGACTCGTTCTGAAACAAATACTCTGAGGCGTTTGGCCGTGGCACCCCGGAGGACAAATAATTGGGACTTTGACTGCGCAAACTAAACTCTAGCGAGTAAAGTTTTTCTCCCTCTCAGGGGGAAACTGACACCGCGGACTTGAATATTTCAGTATAATGAGCAAATACGCGCGAAACGCTCCCCGCAGCAAAGTCAAGATCACTCAAGGAGATTCCCAACTGTCTGTGTGTTTGTTGTCACGCCGATCTGCTTCAGGAAAACAAAGGGAGGGGAGTTGGGTAGGGGGTGGGGGTCAGCGGGCACGTCACGTGACCTTCAAGAAGCTCATCTGTGTGCTGACACCTCCCTTTTTTAAAATCCTTTTTATCTGAAGCCACACCCAGGAAGCAGCGAAGGGAACGGACCACCTTCACCAGAACACAATTGGACATCCTGGAGGCCCTGTTCTCCAAAACCCGATACCCGGACATCTTCATGAGGGAGGAAGTGGCCCTCAAGATCAACCTGCCTGAGTCACGTGTGCAGGTAGAGAGGGGGGGTGGGGGGGTTATAGGTTATAGAGCCAAGATAAAGGTCCGACATTAGCACTTAATCAACATGCCTCCTGAAACGAATTGAATAATTCCAAATAGTCACAGAATATTAGTAATAACATTGTAATTACAGTTTTTAAAAAATATATATTTTCAATTAGGAGTCATTGAAGTAGTCACTGACATAATTTATTTATTAATTTCAATGGAGTCAATTTGAGTCGTTGTTCAGGTTTGTCCTGTGATTTTTTTTTTTTTTTTTGGGCAACCAATCTTTGGTAAAGTCACATTTCCAGTTCCCTGCAACCCTGAACAGGATATTAAGCACTATAGGAAAAGAAGAAATGGATATTTAAGTCGCTTTTTGGTTTCCCCGCTTGCCCTGTACTATGGCCTCCCTCCTTCTTACCATTTCAAAGTCTGTCAGTCATCGGGTATGGGGTTTCCTCGGACTGACATTTGAGCAACAAAACTGATGTAACTTTCTGTGGCTCACTTCACATTACAGTTTTGAAGAGTGTCGTCATTAAAGGGTCCAAAAATACTCCTTAGTGGACTAAGGAGGCAGGAAAGTGCTTCTGTGCCAAACCCTCCTGTTGTCTGTGTCCAGGTGTGGTTCAAGAACCGACGTGCCAAGTGCCGTCAGCAGCAGCAGCAGAGCAGCGGCCAGTCCAAACCCCGCCCCCCCAAGAAGAAGGCCTCTCCAGTCCAGGAGGCCAGCGCCCCCGATCCCGTTCCGAATCCTTCCGACTCCTTCAGCCCCTCATCGGCCCAGTCGGGCTCCGGCCTGGTCCAGAGCTCCGGCACAGGAAACACCTCCGTGTCAATCTGGAGTCCGGCCATATCACCCCTCCCTGACCCGCTGGCCTCCTCCACAGCCCCCTGCATGCAGAGGCCCTCACCTTACCCGATGAGCTACGGCCAGCCGTCGGCCTACGCCCAAGGCTACACCAGCACCACCTCCTACTTCACAGGCCTGGACTGCAGCGCCTACCTGTCCCCCATGCACTCGCAGCTCTCGGGCACCGGGGGCGCTCTCAGCCCCATCACCGTGCCCTCTATGGGGGGCTCCCTAAGCCAATCGCCCGCCTCGCTGTCTTCGCAGGGCTACAGCACCGCCTCCTCCCTTGGCTTCACCTCGGTGGACTGCCTGGACTACAAGGACCAGCAGGCCTGGAAACTGGGGTTCACTACAATGGACTGCCTGGACCATAAGGACCAAAACTCCTGGAAGTTCCAGGTCCTCTAGAAAGCACCACAGGGCAGCGTCCAGTTTGGTTAGTGTGAGGCATGCTGCTTATTTTTCTTTTGTATAAATTTAATTACACTATCAGGCCAGCGTTGTAGGGAACAGGCATCAGGCTAGCGTTGTAGGGAACAGGCACGTGCAAAGAAATTTTTAGGGGGAGATGCTCAAGTTTAAAAAAAAAAAAAAAAAAAAATGGCACCCATTGGCAAAATTCTTTATACAAAAAAAATGCACATATATTTATGTGTTGATTTCTTTTCTGTTATGTTTTGATTTCTGCTCACACAACTAACACAGGTAGAAAGTCTATACTCTACATCCCTTTTCAAATGCCAGGTTTGGTGATATACAAAAATGACATCCAGGCAAATCATTTCCTAATTTTTACACCAACTTTTTAGGGTGGGTCAAGGTGGGCGCCGCAAATCGGCAGGTGCACAATTCTCACACAGGACTCGAAAAAAATGTCCTTAAGATATCAAAACATTGGTGGTGATTGATGACAGAAAGGCAAATATTGTATTTCTTTTTGAAAATATTGATAGAAAGGGCACATTTTTTCCATCCAGAATTTAAGGGCTGATGCTCAAGCACCACTCAGGGTCTGTGCGTGCACGTGCCTGGTAGAGAAGCTCTTTTCCGGCCCGATACATTTGGACAGCAAATGCTGACAGGCTACAAACTGATTTTATAACCACAGGATCAAAAAGCCTTTTTTTTTTTCAGTTTGTAGGAGGCCTGCACATGAAAACAAACTGAGAGAACTCCTTCGTTAACACGGCCGACTCGGCGAGTTAAGGAGCGCTGCAAACGTCTCGACTTTCAATTTCTTTGGATTTCTTTCTTTCATTATATGTTATTTGTTCGCATCGATGTATTCTTGGGCGTTTGTGTTCAGTTCTACGGTGTTTCGCGTTTAGTGTCATCGTCCAAATTCGGTTTGACAATTATGACCTTTCTGTTTTTTTTTTTAGTTGTGTGTCATCTTAAAACGGTTTGTTCCTATTAGGTAGAGGTCAGTATGAACACATCATGTTCCGGTCAGGTCCAAAGCGTCATGTTCGTCATTTCCTCGGTCCGTCTTGGTTATTTTTGTTGATCTGATTCTGGAAGTGTCCCAATCCTCTTAGCCACCCTTCAGCAATGCCCTAAGTGAATTACTTGGGATTATTACCCTATCCTCCTCTCTTTTTGTCTCTGTCACCTCCTCTCCTTCCTTTTCCCAGCTCTCTTGCTTTTTCCCCTACGTACTTCTTGTGTTGCTTTTTTTTTCTTTCCAGTTGCTATTTGTGTGTCTTCTATTTGCATGCCATTTATGACAGTTTCTTGAGTCATCGAACGAAATTCCTTTTCACAGTGGCTCAAACATTTCCCCCCCATATCACTATATGAATCATCCCCTTCTTTCCACCCTTGCCACACTCCTCCTCTGACAATTTGGTAATCCCGCCATGACCTGATTACCGCCACACGAATGTCCAATGCATCCAACAACATGTTTATGTCGCAAATGCCATCCCGTCCAATCCTTCCAACTCTAGATATTCAATGACTTTTAATGCATTTAATTTGCCATGTTTCTAAATCTTGATTGATTTCCATTTCGTTTTATTGTATTGATGCGTAGAGGTGTTATAAATTCATTTTGGATGTGATTTCAAAAAAGAACAAACAAACAAAACAAAAAAAAAAGTACATTAAAATGACGTTGGATGTAATGTTCACATGAATAATAAAACCAGATTATATTTGTTGCTTTTTTTTATGTGGTTTGAATTTTTTTCAGGATGATTTGCAAGAAGAGAAGCGGACGACCAGCACTTCAAAGCACTTTTTTTGCACTCTACATTGACTTAATCCCCGTCTGTGCACAATGTAATCTCTTCCTCCCCCCGCCCCATTCCCCCCTCACTGTGTGGTGTGATTGGTTAATCCCTGCATTTGGGCATCCTGATTGGTTAACCTCTCAGAGAGGGCACATTACATTTGTTTTACCCCCCTACGCGCACACACACACACACACACACGCGCACACACACACACACAAAGAGGGACAGACAGACATTTGTACTGTAATCCCGGGGAGGAGCAGATGTGATGGGGGAGGGGGAGACGCACAGGGCAGAGCGGGACGATATATTTCAGTGTATGTGTGTGTGTGTTTGTGTGTGTGGAAAAAAAAATTACAACTCCACATGATGCAGGAATGATACAAAAAAAAAGATAAAATAATTCTTATCAGACTTTGGCCCTTAAAAACTGCATTTAAAAAAAATATATATATTATTAGTTACGAAATGAGGGACTTTTCTGATCACAAATATGGAGCAAACTAATTTGGTTGTATTTTGTAATCTATTAATTAGGGTTTAGCCTGTCCAATCAACCTCCACCAAATGTTAGGATATTTTAGTTGCGTAAGTATTACATTCATAGCTAGTAAAAATCAGACATTGTTTATGAATCGTGGTTCAACAGAATTATTTTAAAATGCAAACTCATGTAACAGGCCTGGATAAAAAATAAAAATAAAAATGATGGTACCCCTAGAAAAGGCTGAAAATTATTTGACCATAGGGACATGTTTAACCAAGGTGTGTCTTGTAGTTAGCACCAAAGGTGTATTTAAACCTCTAATCCACAAGTGTGTATGAAATTAAATATGGTCCAGAGTAAACCAAGGAAAGTTTTTTCTCAGGAGATTAGAAAGATAATTATACAGATTAATATTAAAGGGAAAGGCTATTAGACCATCTCAGAGGTGCTTGAACGTTCCAGTGACCATATTATTTAGAAATTTAAGATCAATAGGACTGTAGCAAACTGCCCTGAAAATGGCCATCCATCCATCCATTTTCCGTACCTCTTGCTAATGAATTCCTTGAAAACTGCTACAGTCTCTTGTCAAGTCTGACAGACCGAGTCGTTTTATATTTCAGTGCAAAAAAAAAAAAAAAGTCATTTTCCACTTGTCTCGAAAGCGACGGCTCTCTGTTAACTTTGCTTTTCTTCGATACAGTCTCCATTTTAAAATGGGCGAGAAAAGGTCACACAAGGATCATGCAGCTTGGAAATTCAGTGTGGTGTGCTCGGAGAGGCAAAGTACACTTTGAGCGTATTTCAAAATGCTCCCAGGAGCAAGGCCACGAGTCTGTCTGCTGACATCTTACATCCATCCATCCATCCATTTTCCGATCCGCTTATCCTCACAAGGGTCGCAAGGCGTGCTGGAGCCTATCCCAGCTGTCTTCGGTCAGGAGGCGGGGGACACACTGAACCGGTTGCCAATCGCAGGGCACACAGAGGCGAACAGTCATTCGCTCTCACACTCACACATCGGGACAATTTAGAGCGTTCAATCAGCTTGCCATGCATGTTTTTGGAATGTGGGAAGAAACCGTAGTACCTGGAGAAAACCCACGCAGGCCCGGGGAGAACATTCAAACTCCACACAGCGAGGCCCGGAGCTGGAATTGAACCCACAACTTCTGCACTGTGAAAATGGCCAGTGGAGAAAAATTGCTGACAAATTGAAGAGACAGACAATGCAAAAGGTGAAGGTACATCAGTATCAGATTCCACAATCCATCACAGTTTGAGCCAAAGTGGACTACAAGCAGGACACCACTGATGAAAGTAAATAATAAAAAATGGAATTTGCTAAATTGTGTGTTAACAAGAAATAAAGGGGAACTTTTTGAGCAAATCACATCAGCTCTATGTTCAAAGATGCAAAAATGAAGCAGACCGAGAAAAGAACATAGTCCCGATAATGTGAATCATGGAGGAAGCTATGGGGTTACCTTGCTGCATCCGGCACATGGTGTCTTGAATCTGTGCAGGGTACAATGGAATGTCAAGACTATCAAGTCTATTCTCATGCTGTTCGAGCTTGGTTTTAGTCACAGGTCATGGGCTTTGCAACAGAATATTGACCCAAAACACACAGCGAAAAACACCCAAGAATGGCCACAAGCAAAACACTGGACTATTCTGAAGGGACCTTATAGGATTTGCAATCTAAATCCGATTGAAGATCTGTGGAACTATCTGAAACATGCCGTCTGGAGGAAGCCCCATTCACACTCGAGAAAAAACCGGCGCAATTTGATCGTGAAGAGTGGGCCAAAATACCTGCTGAAAGTTGCAGAAGTCTAATTAAAAGTAACAAAAACCGTTTTATTGCAGTAATTGCCTTTAAACTATGTACAACAAAATACTAAGAGTACCATTGTTTTCGCCCAGGCCTGTTTCACGAGTTGCAGTAATTCAGTTTTCTGTGAAACCACAAATCAAAAACAGATTTTTATTGGTTCGTTCATTTTCTTATTTTACAGTTTTTTTCGTCAGGCTCAAGTTATATCTGCGACCACCGGGTTTTCTTCTTTCATTAAGAGAGGTATAGTGGTACTTATAATTATGTCCGCGTGTCGCTCTTTCGTTTTTTTCGTATTTAACCTGAGCTTACACTGCCACCTGCTGGCACTTCCCCCATGTACCGCAACAGTTTTAATTTAGCTAACTTTGCTAACCACGTCACGAAAACTAACGTCGTGGCTTCAGCATTCCAGAAGACAAAATGAAGCAATCCCTTCCTGTTGGCAAACGTAATTTTTTTTAAACATTGACTTTACTTTTTAGTCAGAATTATCGAAAGGCAAGGTATTTAGTCAGCAAGTAACTTTGATTTACAGGATACAAAAATGACTCCACCAGCGATCTGAACACACTGAAGTTCTTGTAACTTACGTACTGTTAGCTAATCATCACATGACAGTGTCACTTGAGCAAAAGAACCAGACCAACTTTCAAACGTTTCTTTTTAACATCTATTTAATGCTACCATATGAGAAATTTGGAAAATACAAAGATCAGCTTATTCATACATTTGAAATCCATGAGCATTTACCCAAAAATATAAAAGAAAGCGAGGTTATACTGTGTATTACAAATTATTGAGAAAGGGACAGAACTGCGGAGAAGTGAGACCCTCAATTCTATGTCAAATTAATTTATGTGTGCGTGTGGGTGGGTGGGGGGGGGGGGGCCAAATCCAAAGAAAAAAGGTTTGACCAACAGCTAACGACCACTGGTAAAACTTCTCTCCATAGTGGCTGCGTTTTGCAAATACAACTCTATGTTGGATAAAAGCCCTTCCTGATTTTCAAATCATTCTTGAAATGGGGAAAAAAAAACCCAAAAAACTTTTCACTATGTTTGCGTTTCCATGCTTTGACCCTCTGTAAATGGAAGAGGATGGGATTATTTGTTATGATGAGTAAAACAAAAACCGACACCGTATGCATAAGATTTTTTTTTTTGCTTATTGATTACATCTGGTTGAAAAGATCAGAGTTCATACATGCACACAAACTGACTGCTCGCACAAATTCCAGAGGCAGAGATGTGCTTTCAAAGGGTAGCGCAAGGCGTCACGCTGCTGGTGCTTAAGGAGAGGGGGGGCTGATGACCGACGAGGTGGGTGTAAAGTAAGACAGGGCAGAAGTGTCAGGACTAGTTTTAATAGCACCCTGCTGTGGAAGTTGCAGCTCCCCTTAAGCAGACTAGCCCCTCTGCTCACCCCGTCTGCAGCTCAGGAAATCCATGTGGACCCAAAGGTGTGACTGGTGTCTGGATATGCCCCCTCAAACCCAGGATGGTCGCACACTCGTGCCAATGTTCGTCTGATCTACATCTTGTCTGTGCACTAAATAGGTACCCTAAACATTTGGTGAAGACAAAGAAACCTCAGAGACCACACATCGACAAAATTCTACCGCTTAAAAGTCTACCGAGAAGCTGGGAAGGGGAATCGGGGGGAGGGAGTGAGGATGTAAAGAAAGAGACAAAGGTCAAAAGGTGCCTTCTAAGCACGCTCGCCACGGATTCGGCGGGCCAGCTGGATGTCCTTGGGCATGATGGTGACCCGCTTGGCGTGGATGGCACACAGGTTGGTGTCCTCAAATAGTCCCACCAGGTATGCCTCACTGGCTTCCTGCAGACACACACGCAGACAAAAGACACGTTTCCACATTTTGAAATCTGAATATGTGCACACCTATGTTATTATAATTGAAGGGGAACTCTTGTCCGTTTTAATCCATCTCAAGGTGCGGCCATTTTGCCACTTGCTGTTGACTGAAAATTACATCACAGCCAATGGACTCAGCTTGCGAATGTCACATGACCAAAACCAGAAAACCGGTGCGCTGTGATTGGTTGTTACCCATGGACATGCCGGGAACAAAATTTGGCCCAGCAATATGCAGTGACGGTGGCTATCACTTGGCGAAAAATTGACGATCGGGGAGATTGGAGGGGAGGAGGGTCAGGGTTTTGTGGGCTGATGTGTTAAAAAGTTCTCGCGACAGGCTGAAATGTCGTCGGCGACGGGTTACGGCAGTACCGTATCCAAAAATAATCGCAGACGGGAGGAAGGTGCCAGCCATTATGCCTGGGACCAGCCTGTAAATACACCAGCCATTTGGGGGGATAACATTTATCTGAAATTCCCGATGGCCACTCCACCCCGGTCGTTACCTGAGCCCTTCAGCACTGTGATGTCATTTTCAGTTGACAGAAAGTGGCAAAATGGCCACCCTCTGAGATGGATAAAAATTGATGGATTTTGCTACTTTTTCATACATATTCCACAAACGCAATATTAATCTCTCTCTCTCTCTCTCTCTCTCTCTCTCTCTCTCTCTCTCTCTCTCTCTCTATATATATATTATATAATATTCGTGTTTAGATGAGTGGGGGCTCAGCACCAGCTATTTTCAGACCCTCCTTTACCCCATCACGTGATTTAAAAAAAAAAGAAAAAAAAAAAAAAAAGAAAAAGCATAAACATGTACCATCCAGAATGTCTGAATTCTTGAGACATGAAAAAACATCCTGGCATTGAATAAGTAAAAGAAAACTAGCAATGTAACCACAACTAAAATTGAAAAAACAAAACATTTTTGTTCATAAAAGAAAATAAAAACAAGAGTGCTTTTCAAAGAAACAAACTGAAACTCCATATTACATTTAGACATCTAACTAAAACTAACTATAGTGAAAATGTCCTTTGCTTTTGTCTTTGTCAATTAATTTCATACATTTTGGGGTTTTATTATAATATATGTATTCGAAAATTATTAACACTCGGACTACCAGGATTTCGAAACTTTAAGACCTATCATCTTTTTGACGGCTTGTGCTCTGTTGCACTCTGACGATATAATTGCCTAAAATGATCACTGCTTGAGTGACTATAATAAAGGTTTTGTTTATAAAAAATATGTTTTGAGTATCTTTTAATGTAAATTATGTCATACAAACAAATGAGAAACAACAGCTCTCACGCTGCGTGCAAGGTTAGCTGTTATTAAAAAAATTGTTTGGTGCAGAAGAAAAGGAGATCGAGAAGACTTTGCTGCAGTTTACTTTGAAGAAGTAAATCGGAAATATGGCCATACAAAATCACTATTTGTATTTTTAAAAAAGCCCCCTAAAATAATTTCAAAACTATTATAACCAAATACAAACCTGCAGAGCACCAATTGCGGCGCTCTGAAAACGCAAGTCAGTCTTGAAGTCCTGCGCAATCTCTCTGACCAGGCGCTGGAAGGGCAGTTTACGGATCAGCAGCTCCGTTGACTTCTGGTACCGACGAATCTCTCTCAGAGCCACAGTACCGGGCCTGAAAGAAAATACCAAGCAGCCTGTAATGACTTACTTTAAAACTCAAATTAACATCCTCCAAAGCCGCCCGACAAAAACCTTCAACATCCAATTATAACGTACGTGTCGATAAGTGAGAAGTCAGCACGTTTTGAGTCAAACAACAACAGATATTTTCTGTGCGTTCTGTCATGTTGCCTGATTTCTCCAACCTCTTCATATGATCGACAATTTGCCACATCATGATTCCTATTAGCTGCACAGGTTACCTGTAACGATGGGGCTTTTTGACGCCCCCGGTTGAGGGGGCGCTTTTGCGTGCAGCCTTGGTGGCCAGCTGCTTGCGAGGAGCCTTTCCTCCTGTGGACTTACGGGCGGTTTGCTTGGTACGAGCCATGACCACAAAGTATCAACCTAGAAGAGGCATTAGAGGTTAAGACTCATATATAAGAAATTAGATACTTACACATAACGCATTGACAGCTCTAACATATGACTTCATATTGCATTTAAATCACAGCATTATTTTGTTGAAATAGCAATTATTCAAGCAGAGCTCCACATTTACGGTGATTACATTTCTTACGTTCCAATAACTCGAGGTTGGGGAAATAAACTCACCGGAATGGATTAACCTTGAAATTAGTAAATGAAACTCAAAAAGTTCAACTTTGAGTTACGCTTGCGAGGTCAAATAACAAGGCGATGATAGAGTAATACGTATATTCGCACGAGTTGATATGACGTCACACAGCAACCTCATTTTACCGTCATCCTACAGCTGGAGATTCCGGAGCGCACCTAAAGTGACTGTTGCCAATGTGACAACGTAAATGCGCCTGGAAGTATCGTTTGGTAACACAACTATTTCATAACTGTGACGGGATTCATACGTGTATTCTTTGCGTGAATTCAGAATGTTTCTTCGTCGTCAGAATTAAGGCTCGAATTTTTGAACCGTCATTTTTCATAAACTGGCGGCTTGCAGATTCTGGTAATAGCTGACCATTCGTCGTTCTTAACTGGCAAAACCCATCAAGAAATCTTGTTTATTCCTCGAACTGGCCAATATACTGTGACGCTTTGAAGGCTACCAATCAACGTTGGCTTTTACTTGCTGAGAACCAATGAGCTGGAATGTTGCTGTTGTTGGGGGCGGGGACATCGATTTATCGCTCGCCTCCTAACCTCGGGATTTATGGCCGCATACGAAACGTTAAAGGCTATTAACATTGAGCCGGACACACGACATCGCCAGCAGTCCACAGTTACAAAGACTGTCACTAAAATGTAGAAAACATGTGTGAGTGCCATTAGATCACGCGGAACGACCGCTGAAGCAAAGCAATTGGATACAAATAGCCGATGAAAAGAACACATACGTCGCCGTTTAGTAGCACTGAGCCGTTTTCCTCACTTGTGATGGGGGGGGGGGGCTGCTTTTCCGCTTCATCGTAAACCTCGGAATTAGACGACGTTTTTAAAACACACTAAAACCTGATCCCGATAAATTTTACACACAACGTGCAACGAGCGTCCCTGTATGAAAACCTCACCAGATTTCACCCACCAAGGGCAATTTAAGCGCCGTTTCCAGCAGTGACTCGAGCGTGTTGTTGCAGTGTCAGATATTTACTATCTCGCACACAATGGAAGCGCGACGAGCAAAATGGCGGCCGTGTCAATCATGTCTCCCACAATGCAACTGCCACCGAGTGTAAACAAACATTGGAGTTGCACTTGATTTACCTCATAACACCAAACACTGACAACACCACGATAATTCCAAACCATTATAACATTAAATATTATTGTAGCGAGGCATATTATACACTGCTTGATTCGCGAAACAAAACCGAGAAAAAATGGGCACGTAGTTTGGAGGAATATTAACTAAGTTGAAGGCAATGCTTGGCAAACGTAAGAATCACGTTTTTAAGTGTAACCCGATAAAACCCCAAGTAACAGGCTGGGTGATACATTTCATCTGCTTGTACAATCAACCTCAGTGTTAACTGTCAAACATGACAGAACTTATCAGCATATATTTGTTTTGGAAAAAATGTGGACTGGCGGGAGACAACATCATTTCTGATGGTTGGTTACATTTTTGCTCGTTTTATTTGTTTTAAGTATTCATTAGTGTACAGTATATTAAATTTAAGTATTATGGTGTTTTAAATCTAGTTTACTTTAAATATAGATGGAAGTGTTGATATAAATCAAATACAGCACACTGGCAAAGCAGGCAAATAGCCAATTTCCTTTAAAATCTAATATCCGACAAATCTTGCACGATTTACCTGCGTAATGGCTTCACGATTGGTATTAGCTATGCCTTTGTATGGGCTACTTTTACTCTACAGCTTTTATTTGACATAATTTTCATTCTAAACTGAAGTGAATACAACATAAATAGATGGGTCATCCCAAAAAATCGGAAGACATTTTCTGCCTCTCATGGCCATAAAATTCTAAATACGGTAATCTATGCACAAAATACATAATATGCATTTGTTATGTAAATTATAATTGCCCTGAGACAAATGTGACTGGAGTAAAAGTGATTCTGAAATATATTAAATAGCAAATAGTTTTTTAACATCCCCGAAAATGGCTGTTACTCACGTTATGCTTAAGACATTCTTGACCAGTGAGCGTAGCAGGGAACACAACGAATATGCTCCGTACTTTTGAGCAAAACATGAACATTGATTTGCAAACCCAAGACTGCAATTAGAGTATTACTAGAAATTAAATAAGTATTCAAATGAAACTCAAGTTTAAGCATTTACTCTACAATACTTTAGAATATGAGTTTGTTTTTCAGGTGCCTGAATGTCTGGAACAGTGCTGTGTCAAACATAGCAAAACATATGGCAAATAAAATCTTATTTAAAAATTCTATTGATGGTGGCGCTGGATCAATCAAATGATGGTTTAGTAGCTATTATAAATGTTTTTAAAAAAAGTCTAAAATAGTGAATTCATCAAGATTTTTGGTGCCGAATTGTCTTCCAATACTGGAGAGAACCAGAAAATGTTCACTGTTGTTCTGGCTGCAAAAATATTTAGTCACTTTAAATTTGCTACAGCAGTATAGTGGGCCGAGTGAGGACACAAGCTTCGATCCCAAGGTGTACATCGAGCACACAGCTTGTGTGGGGTTAGCAAGTTCTCATGCTTGCTCTGGCTTCCTCCCACATTCGTAAAACTTGCACGGTCGACTCATCGACGACTCTAGCCCATCGGTGTGAATGCTCATTTGTGCATATGTGCTCTGTGATTGGCTGGCAACCAGCCCAGGGTGTACCTCGCCTCTCATCCAACGAAGGTGGGAAGGGCTCCATCTCATCCTTGATTCTAATGAGGACACGTGTAATTAAAGAAATGGACGTTTGGACACATTTTAACCCACTAAGATGAAATTCAAGTCCATGGTTGAGTTTTATCTTTGACCTGTTGATTTCGATTGTGTTTTTGAGGGCACAATGTTTTTTTTTTATTTTTGTAATGCAGTGTCGCCTAAGAGATTGAAGATCACACATACACTTTTGACTTTTGGCCTTGACGCTTGTGTACAGAGATTTCTTCAGGTGCTCTCAATCATTTGAGTATTTTATATACTGTAAATCAGTAGCCTCCAACCACTGGTCCACCGACCACTTCACAACAAAATACATAAATGAATAATAATAACAATACATATGTACTTTTGGAGTATATATATGCCCCAATCAGGAACATCTGTCAGCACGCCCCACCTTCCAATGTTGATTATCTGATCAGAAATACAGTATTGCATATATGGCAATTCCCCACCCTACTCCCCATTTTCAGCCCCACCAGGTTTGACATGAAAACTTTGTTTTTATGATTGATGGAAAACTTTTGTAATGACCATCGATGGATTAAAAAGATATCCAGTCCACGCGGTGATGACCTTGCCACCATGAAAGCTCTCCCAGATCTACTATTACATGCTGCAGAATGTGATATATTCTACCACTCGCGATTTTTCCTCTCTCTTTTAGTAACTATTTGTAATTGCATCTATCTATCTCGTCACGACTGTAACCTACGGCAATTAGGACATGTAAGACCAAGAAGCAGGAATTATGCAGCATCATGGACACATTCTTAAGTGCTATTCCTGAACAGTTTTATTTGTTTTATATCTAAAACTTTAAGGACCCATTAGTTTCAGACAATAATTTCACATTAAAGTACACAGTGCCTTACTTTTGTCTCACGTGAAAAGAAAGAGGCTTCATGTAAGGCAGGAGGAGCAACATCTGCAAGCGATATACTGGGTAAGACAGTTACAGAATACAACCCGTTGGTTTTTAATATACTGTAATTGAAACTCCACTGGGCAGTACCAAATGAGTGTACCATACATCAGTTTTTCGGCTGAAATATACATTTCAAGAATTATCTACCGTACATAAATCATTTGCGTAATCTGGGCACAGTAAATTACATTACGGTAGCAGTAAAATACATTTTTCACTCAAAGAAAAATTGTCATTTTCCAACAAAGTAGGATCAACATGTTTGTCATTTTAGAGGAAAACATTCTCAGATTTATTAATGATAGACCAGGTGTCACAACTCAATAGATGTAATGGGGAAATAAAATGTAATTAGAAAAACCTCTTTAGAGCGGAACCTTAAATTTACCATCACCTTTCCTTTTTATTTTGGTGTCTGCGAGAACTGTACCGCAATGCTTGGTCCCCCTTCTAACAAAAGTGCCAAAACATTCTATTAAAAGTAACCAAAATGTGTTTTGAATAAATGTACATAAAATGGCACAGTCACAAAGAACATAAAAAGACAATAATGACACCCACTATTTGAACTGACGTTAACCCACAACGGATTGCCGTCAATCTCACACAGTCGGATTCTCAAAAGACAAACATGGACACAGTGTACTGCCTACCTGTGTGCATACTGGTGGAGGGAAGGTGTGATGGTGCTGAACATCCATCCTCCTCCCCGTACCTTGTGCTGTCATATTTAGAAAGAATGAAATGAACAGTGAAGTACACAGAACTGTTCTGTAAGAGAGTGCATGCATTTCTAAAATGCAAACCTTATTCCCATTTATGCTCAAACCCAGCGGCCACATCTAAAAAAATACATCATACCCCTTTACTATGGATTTATTTATACATGTGTGTGTGTATATATACAGTCAAACCTCGGTTTTCATCCATAATCCGTTACAGAAGGCTGTTCGAAAACTGAAATTGTTCGAAAACCGAAACCACGGTCTTTAAAAAAAAAAAAAAGTTTTTGAACACGTCTGCTCACAATGGAAAGCGATACGAGGAAGCGGCACTTCCTCGTCTACCCGAGGAAGCGTCATTTCCTCGTGTAAGGAAGGCGAGAGGAGTCAAGTGGTGCATTCAAGTGCGCTCAGTTTGTTCGAGAACCGAAATTTGTTCGTCATCCGAGGCATAAAAAACTTGAAATTTTTGTTCGAAAACCGAATTGGTCGAGAACCGAGACGTTCGAAAACTGAGGTTTGACTATGTATGTATGTGTGTGTGTGTGTGTGTGTGTGTGTGTGTGTGTATATATATATATATAAAATAATATTAGACATTTGTGGTTTCTGTTTTCAGTACATTGCATCTTTCATATCATATACATTTATGACTGGTGTTCTCACTCAAATACAGCAAAAATGGACTCTTGGACAAAACCTCCTGTACATTCAGGACTTTCTGTTAAAAGTCTTACTGTTTCCTTTACAATTTGTTAAAAAATTCAGAACAGCAAAAAAAAAAAAAAAAACAAAAACAAAAAAAGTGGTACAACAGTCCAGCTGTCCTGCAGAGGCTGATCGACCATAGCTCAGTCTTTCTTCGAAAGAAGATTTCACAATTCCCCAGCGGCAGAGGTTTCATTCCGTACATATCTCTGTTTCTGGCCTCTGGATACCCAGGTCGGTCTGGAGGAAGGCTCCCTGGCCTAACGCTGTAGAATATGCTCTGTTGTTGTGCGCCAGGTAGGAGTTACAGCCGCTGCGTTTTTGAATGGGGCCCTGAGGCTGAGGTACTGGGTGGTAATCGTCCAAGTTGTCGTAGTGGGATTGCGCCGGTTTGCCGCCGTGTTTGAGATACGGGTAGTCTCCGTCCAGTTCGGCTTTGCCGTGGCCGTAGAGAGGCTGCTCACGCATGCTGTGCGATCGTTCAGGTTTGCGGTGGGCGAGCTGTTCCTTGGGAGTGGATGGCTGATCTTCTGGACCGTGACAGGTGTTTGTCATTTTACTTTGACTGTGGTGGGGCTCAGCATCGTGGCACTCATACCATGTCTGGAAGCTCCTCTTGTTTGTGTGCTCTGGCTGCCGGTGTGTGGACAGGCTGCCGCCGCTGCTTTCGCCAAGCTTTTCACCTGAGCTCTCGTGCTTGGCTTCGTGCGGGCTGCTCTCCTGCTGATGGGAGAGATCGCTCAGCGTTGCAGGAACGGAATGAGACGATTGGCATTTCTTGGAGCCGCTTTGCTTCGTCGGCCCGTCCGACTTGTCTCCTGTTGGAGCACCTTGGGGGTGCTTGTCACTCTCCAAACATATGAGGACGTTGGTGTCCGAGACCATATGTCTGGGGAGATAGCGACTATCTTTGCTCTCAGTTGTACTCGGCAAAGCTTTACCTGGATCAGACTTAC